CACAGGTGCTGGCGAAACGTTAGGAAACAAAACTCCAAGAACACGGCCACGCAGCCCGGAAGACCCACACCAGCCATCGTATGCCGGCCGTGAAAGCCTTCGACAATACAAACAGAGATTTATTGCCCTAGGAGCTATGTTTGCCCAAAGTAACATAGGCTCACCAATGCCAGCTATCCAATAAGGGTTTTTCCTTTTTTTTTTTTTTTTTTACAAAAAAATGATGAAGGGGAGGCTTTTTGAAAATGCAGGCACATGCTCATTTTTGAACATATATTGAACAGTAGATATATCGGACGATATGCAAAGTCAAAGGATTTTGATATATTTCATGTGTCAATGGGGGTAAGGAGACCTCAAAAAATTGAGAGAAAAAGAATCCACAGACTTGCTCTTGGACATGTTCAGGGTTAAATTGCCAAGCAGACCTTTAATTTTAAAGCATCTGCTACCTTATTCTCAGTCCAAAGATATTCAGAGTGCCTACAAGAAAATTCCCAAATTACAAGGCTCCATAAACATGTCACCTTGAGTGGCTGCCAAAGTTGAAAGAGTATAAATCAAATCAAATAACAATAACAATAAACAATAAAGCAACAGTCCCACAATTTAGTCCCACAGCAGACAACAGAACAGCATACACAACTGGTGCCAAAAATGTCTTGGGCATACTATCTACTGCCTCTTCCAAAGACAAGAGTTCAAGAGCCAGGACACCAACACGTTTTTGCCTGATTCATCGTATGACATGACTTGTTCAGGGTGGGAGCTAGCCAGCTCAGAATTGCTTAACCAAAATATTCTGTTCTTTTGCAGTCTGAACTTTGTGGTAGATTTGTAGGAAAATGGAGTGCGGAAATGTACAAATACCTGGTGATAGTAGTAAGCCACTCACCTCACTCTTCAGCACAGAATGAAGGGAGGTATCTTGCATATTTGGGGGAAAGTGGTGAAGAACAAAAATGGATGCAATTGTAGGCTTGCGCACTGGCTACCAGAACACCCAGAGCCACCCCTCTGTTCACATAGAGCAAAGCCAGGAATTTAGATGAGTATTTAAATAAAAGTAAATGATTAGAAGGAGAGAGCCAGTTTGGTGTCGTGGTCAAGGCATCAGGCTAGAAAGCAGGAGACGGTGAGTTCTAGTCCCACCTTAGGCACAAAGCCAGCTGGGTGACCTTGGGCCAGTCCCTCTCTCTCAGCCCTAGGGAGGAGGCCAGGGCAAACCACTTCCAAACCACCTTCCAAGAAAACTGCAGGGACTTGTCCAGGCAGTCACCAAGAGTCAAAAACTGACTTGAAGGTGCACACACGCACATACACACACACAGGATTAAAAATCTTCATCTACTACTCTTAGTCCAAACAGAAAAGACCAAATACTGAGGAAAAAATGCCACCTTTTTATCCATACTGAAAGGCTCTGCAAGACAGGATTGATGGACCTTAATAGAAGCTGTCTACTGGAGGTGCAAAAACATTTATCTTGTTCTACTTTTTTGATGCAAACAATTTCAACTTCCATCCTTCTGATGGCACGCATAAATCCCTCAAATCAACCTGTTTCTCTTCAGTATTATTTAGAGGGGAAAAGAGAACAATTTTATATTTTTTCCTCCTTTTTCCTTCTCAAACGATGTTTGTTACTCTTTCCTTCTTCCCAACTAGCAAAGGATCAGGATGCTGTGTATATGCTTTCAGTACAGAATATAAAAGCTATAAACATCATTAGGTGAATCTTCTGTCAGGTGCTAAACTTTAGCCTAAAACTCTGGGACTACATTCTCCTATACTATAATTGCTTCTTCTAACTTGGTTGTCTCCATGAGTTTTCAGAATTTCCAACTTGTTTTGAGGGGCTCCTGTTGTCGTTCCTTCACTGGGGAACTTTTTCTCCTTCCCCATCCCTCATGACCAGTTAGACAACTTTTCATTTTGAAAGCTTTTTTATTGAAACACTGGAATTGTCTCCAGATTGTTTCTCCCTCTTACTGTCTGCACACACTCAGTGTGAATAAGAGTGTCGCAAGACTGCTAAATAGCAAAGACAGTTTTCAGACAATCCATACCTTAACAATGTTCTCATTAAGTCTCCAGAAACAATTTCCTACTCAACAGTCTGATGATCTCATTTTGGCATGCAAGACTGATTCAGCAGGCTTAACAATTTGACAGATTTAAAAATCAGGGCTGAGTTGCAGATGCCCTGAAAGACTATTGTGTTGCTGTACAGGGGACCCCCAAGAATCTACTCATTTATTAATTTTCCTGAATTTTATATCCCTTCAACCTGATTGACTCAAAGTAGCTTAAAGAAATCTGCTTCCTTATAAGAGTATGGAAGGTCGTCCACAATGCCACTCACTATGGCAAGGGTACCACAGACTTCTGTCAACAAGGGGACATTCCTCCTGAACTTGGGAACTGTGAAGGGGCACATGCATACCAGCTATATGTACCATTTTCCGAAGTTATAAAATGTAGAAATAATGTTTTGCCTGTCCATTCCAACCCAAATTTCTAATGCTGTATCAATATTACAGATTTGACTTATCTTTTTCAGAAGCCAGTATTGACTAAAAAAAGGGGTTATAAATGTTAGAGATAAATATAATATTAACATGTACATGAATGCCTACATGCATACGCAATTCAATCCAGGCCACTTTAACAAATAGTACTATCAAACAATACCTCATTTTCTGAAATCAAGTCTGACGAAATAATAGCTAATATTTTGTTCAATATTATTATAAGCTGTCAACCAAATTGTCAAGTTTATGTTCCATTTTATGAGAAAATGCTGTTAGCAGCCTTGATTCTGAAACATTCTTATTACTTAAGCCTTTTAAGTTTTGTTTAGTGTCCTTGAACATGAACACAGGAAGACAAACAAAAATTCTTAATCTGCCTGCACAATCATAAAGCAGGGATAATGCCCTTGGGTAGTATAAAGGCTCTATTTAATTGCAAAATAAAAACGCCTAATTATTAGGGCAACCAAGGTTCATGTACATTTGTTCAGGAAATATATTAATTAGGAAAAGTGATAGCATATTAAATGGATTTTGCCATAAGCAGGAGACATCTGATGAAACCATCCCCACCAAGAGTTCATCAAATGGGTTATTTCATACTCACATCTTGTCCTGACCACCCACTCTCAGCGTCAGCCTGGGAATCACAGGAGATGGTGCAGGAATAACAGGTTCAACTTTGATCTGCTAAAGGTAACATATTCAAATATTAAAATGGGATATTTCCTATAGAGAAAAGTTTTAACGCTGTGTTGAATTATGTAGAGGACTTTCCTATAAGAAACCCTGCTTGTAACTTAACATAAGGCAAATTAATGGAAAGAAAAAAATAATGAAAAAGTGTTTAGGATATTACCCCATTTTATTGACTATGTATCACAGAGTAGCTTTTTTTTTTTTTTT